TTCAGTTTCATAGCTGTGTCTGAGACTTGGCTAGATGGAGATAGCTGCTGTGAGTTAGAATTAGATTAAATGAACTGTTCACTATCAATCAGATTAATAAAAGGGGTGGAGGTGTTGCACTGTACATGGATACGGACCTGAGGTGTAAAAAGATTGGTAGTAAGTCAACCACCATTGATGATGTTTTGGGATGTATAACATGTGAAATTATTGTGGAAAGGTCAACAAATATTGTAGTCAGTTGTGTCTACAGAACACCCGGGTCATGTCTAGATACATTTAACAAGAAAATTGACAACCTCTTGAGCACAAGTAATTCAAAAAACAAGGTCCATATCGTGTGTGGTGACTTAAATATTAATCTTCTGTACCCTCAGTAAAAATTGAAAACAATAGACTTCATAATACTATGTACAGTAATACTCTTTTCTCCCCTTATTGATCAGCCAACTAGAATTACCACGGACACGTCTACATTAATAGATAATACAGTACAGACCAAAAGTTTGGACACACTTTCTCATGCAATCTCATGCAAGAATGTCATTTCTTTTCATTACTATTGACTGTAGATTCACACCCAGGCTGTGTAAGGGCTATTTGACCAATAAGGAGAGTGATGGGTGCTGGGTCACATGACCTGGTCTCCACAGTCACCGGACCTGAACCCAATCCAGATGGTTTTGGGGTGAGCTGGACCACAGAGTGAAGGCGAAAGGGCCAACAAGTGCTAAACATCTCTGGGAACTCCTTCAAGACTGTTGGAAGACCATTTCGTGGCAAGAGCTCTGGTGTGTGCCGTCCTCTCTGTCTGGAGCACACTGGGGTAGTCTTGCACAGTTTTTCCAATGTGGTTTTACTGCAAATGGCAAATAAATGAATCTGAGTCTAATTTCAGGTCACTGGCTCTTGAAGCTCATCAAGAGAATGCCAAGAGTGTGTGAAGCAGTATTCAGAGCAAAAGGTGCGCCTTTGAGGAACCCAGAATATAAGACATATTTTCAGTTGTTACATACTTTTTTTTGTAGATTCATAATTTCTCTGGAGTCAATTTACAGTGTTGATACCTTCAGTGTGAATCTACAATTTTCATAATCATGAAAATAAAAAATAATCTGAATGAGGTGTGTCCATATTTTTAGTCTGTACTGTATATTTACTAATCAGCTAGCAAATTAAATTATAGCTGGAGTACTTATCAATGACATCACTGACCATCTGCCTATTTTTTTTTAGCATTTTTAAACTATTACAAAAGAATACAACCAAAATAAAGGACATCAAATTTTAGACACCGGACACCTGAAGCTATGGCTGCTCTCAAGCGCAACTTAAGTGGCCAAATTTGGGAAAAAGGGTATGCAACTCCTGACCCTGATAGGGCATTCAATGCCTTCCTACATTTACTAATACAACTGTATGACCAGCACTGTCCACGTAAGAAATGTTATATTAAAAACAAAAACATCCAGGAGAGGCCATGGCTTACCAAGGGCATGACTAAGGCTTGTAAAAGAAAGTAAAAGAAACAACTTTACAGGGCACATTTAAAGCAAAGGACTACAGTTATTCTCTATTGCTTAGAAACACACAATACTGCCCTCCCTTTTCACAAAACTCTAAACACAAACCACTTTTCTAAAGCTACATACACACAACCTCACAGTCTCTTTTCAAAACCAACCCATCACACCAAAACAGTTGCTCATATGCTCAAAAGTAAACTCTGACACCACAATATCACTCAAGGTCTGCAAAAGGCATCATTAAGCACATTACCAAAACACTTGAAAACACAATTTTCAGAGTGTGAGACTGTTCTTTTTACAATTTCACAACTGCCAGGATGGATTTGGACAACAGTTTTTCTCTATTGCTTAAACACATTTCTTGATACTGCCCTCCCTTTTCACAAAACTCTAAACACAAAACACTTTTCTAACGCTACAGTGCCTTGCGAAAGTATTCGGCCACATTTCAGGCTTCAAACATAAAGATATAAAAATATTTTTTTTTTGTCAAGAATCAACAACAAGTGGGACACAATCGTGAAGTGGAACGAAATGTATTGGATAATTTTAACTTTTTTAACACTAGGAGCGCCCCTAGCGGTCAACTGACCGCCACTCACTTTATTATGCTAATTAGTGTATTCAAAACAAAACGCCAGAAGTTGAAATTTTATGACTTTTACTAGGTACTTGTTGTTTATATTTTGGTGTGTTTTGGTTTTGGAAAAAGTAAAGAAAACAAGATTTACACGCATTTTAACTTTTCTAATCCACAGCCCTTTCTGCTGCCCCATAGGGATACATGGCGCAGGGGCGACTGTTGTCATAGTAACCTTTCCCGGGGGTTTTTCGCGCCTTATAAAAATGTATCAATATGTTGTCATTAGACTCTAAAGGGACTTTTTTATTATTATTTGGGAGAGAGAGAGGAGTACAGAATGAATAGAGCTGCAAGAACACAGTATGAAGCCCTGACAGTGCTTCAAGACATTGAATGAGAACAGTCTGACGGAGGTGAGATGTCAGACTCTGAGGTGGAAAGTGACAGCGGGGAGAACACCTATAATATTCTAAATCTGAACGTAAACCCATAGTGCATTCACGGCACAGACAGCAGTGTTGTAACAAGTCCAGAAGCAATAACGCACATGACCCGCGTAATGCCAGCCGCAGGTGTCTGTGTGCGCGCTGTCTCTCCATTCTGCCTTTTCATTCATCATCAATTACATTCTTATATTTATACATACAAGAAGGCAATACAGCAGAATACAATATCGCAATAAAATAGAACAATTAGATGAACTATCAAGGCAGAGTGCAGATCAGAGTGCTCGTCACCCGCGGACACTGCAGGAGGAGAGGGACTGTGGAGCAGAGGCGGCCCTCGTATATCAATAAGGATATAATTCGTATTTCATCCAGATACAGTAACACTGTGTGTTATTCTGCACAGCGCGCACTGCAAGGCAATGATTATAATTTTGTTCTGAGCATAAAGAGCACTGCTTGTCTGAAGATTTTACATTGACGATGGTAGCCTAGCTGATGATCTCGTGTCAATACGAATACTATTATTATCTAGATAATATTTCCCACGGTGATTTCGGCCTCTAAAGAGAAAACAGTCTGGAGATGACGTAAGAAGTAGACGCATAGCAGCGCGAAGACGTTATGGTCCCGTGCTTTTCTAAACTATAATTTATATTGTTTGAATTTACATATTGTTACTGAGTCAAATATAACATATAGTGACCAACCTTTTAGGTGTTTGCAAAGTTACAAAATAAATCTAGCCTGAAAAGTCATCGTAATTTTGATGGATCAGTACACGCACAATGTGTCGTCTTAGTCTTTTATTTCGGCTAGAATTACAATTACTTAGCATATTTAGACAAATAATTTACACAGTTTCATTATGATCACGATTCCTTTGCAACATCAAGTTCTGGTTTAGTGAACAATCAATTTGGCAAAAGGCTGTATCAGCGCAAAATACATAGCGGTCAACTGACCGCAGGGGGCGGTGCAAGGTATGTTTAGAGCGCGGCGGTCCTAGTGTTAACAAATAAAAACTGAAGTGGGGCGTGCAATATTATTCGGCCCCCTTCCGCTAATACTTTGTAGCGCTACCTTTTGCTGTAATTACAGCTGCAAGTCGCTTGGGGTATGTCTATCAGTTTTGCACATCGAGAGACTGGAATTCTTGCCCATTCTTCCTTGTAAAACAGCTCGAGCTCAGTGAGGTTGGATGGAGAGCGTTTGTGAACAGCAGTCTTCAGCTCTTTCCACAGATTCTCGATTGGATTCAGGTCTGGACTTTGACTTGGCCATTCTAACACCTGGATACGTCTATTTGTGAACCATTCCATTGTAGATTTGGCTTTATGTTTTGGATCATTGTCCTGTTGGAAGATAAATCTCCGTCCCAGTCTCAGGTCTTTTGCAGACTCCAACAGGTTTTCTTCCAGAATGGTCATGTATTTGGCTCCATCCATCTTCCCATCAATTTTAGCCATCTTCCCTGTCCCTGCTGAAGAAAAGCAGGCCCAAAGCATGATGCTGCCACCACCATGTTCGACAGTGGGGATGGTGTGTTCAGGGTGATGAGCTGTGTTGCTTTTACGCCAAACATATCGTTTTGCATTGTGGCCAAAAAGTTCGATTCTGGTTTCATCTGACCAGAGCACCTTCTTCCACATGTTTGGTGTGTCTCCCAAGTGGCTTGTGGCAAACTTTAAAAGAGACTTTTTATGGATATCTTTGAGAAATGGCTTTCTTCTTGCCACTCTTCCATAAAGGCAGTGCACGACTGATTGTTGTCCTATGGACAGACCCTCCCACCTCAGCTGTAGTTATCTGCAGTTCATCCAGAGTGATCATGGGCCTCTTGGCTGCATCTCTGATCAGTCTTCTCCTTTAGATGAAAGTTGGGAGGGACGGCCGGGTCTTGGTAGATTTGCAGTCTGCAAAAATGTAAAAGATACTGAGCATAACTAACCACATCACAAACACAATTGAAAACACAATTTTCAGAATGTGAGACTGTTCCTTTTTACAGTTTCACAACTGCCAGGATGCATTTGAGTATCCATTATTCTCAAATATGTATTAGGAATTTACTAAAGATTTGTGTGTTTCATGAGAATAGTTACATAATGCAAAAAATACAGTTATATCAAAACTCAATGCAAGAATGAGTAACTCCAAAAGATCCATGACACACAATAGATACTACAGTAAGAAAACACAATGTTCAGGGTGTACAGTATGTTGTACTGTGTGTTGTACTGTATGTTGTACAGTATGTTGTACTGTATGTTGTATGTAGAGTATGTTGTACTGTGTGTTGTTCTGTGTGCTGTACTGTGTGTTGTTCTGTATGTTGTACAGTATGTTGTACTGTGTGTTGTACAGTATGTTGTACTGTATGTTTTACAGTATTTCAGTCCAATGATTTAGTTTACACTTAAATCATTGGGCGGCATCACGTCATTGGGCTGGGTCGGGCCACAGGACCTCATCAACATCACAGGCAATATTGTCCATAGCCAAACAACGCTCCTTTCCCTCCTTGACCTGCTCTTTCTCCTTCTTGACCTGCTCCTCCTCCTCCTTGACCTGCTCTTTCTCCTTCTTGACCTGCTCTTCTCCATCTTTGACCTGCTCCTCTCTCTCTTTGACCTGCTCCTCTCTCTCTCTGACCTGCTCCTCTCTCTCTTTGACCTGCTCCTTTCCCTATTTGACCTCCTCCTCTCTTTCCTTGGCCTGCTCCTCTCTCTCCTTGGTCTGTTCCTCTTCCTCTTCTGACACAAACTCCTCTTCTGCCTTGATCATCCATTTTTGTTTTGAACCTTCATCAAACTGCACTGACTTATAAAGGTGTGGTCACATCATTTGCAACAGGAGTTTTCAGTTCTGAGTTGTTGTGTTTTCTGAATGACACCAGGTATGTTTATTATGTTCATGTTTTGCTGACTGTGGGACATTTTGCATCACATGAGCTTCACAATGCATATTGGTACATGATAGGGTTAGATATGTGTTTAGAGTTTTGAGAAAAAGGGGATGGGTTTGTGAACAGTGTCTACAGCTGAATTGTGTTTATGGTTGTGGCAAGTGGGGGTAGTTTTACTAAATGTGTTTAGGCAACTGGTCATTTGGTTTAGAGAACTGGGTTTTGTGTTGTTGCAATAGAGAAAACTGTAAACAAAATGTAGGGTATAAAATGTATAAGAATAAGTTAACTGAAAGATTTAATAAAAAAGCATACTATAACAATTTGCTGGAGCAGAGTGATATCCAAGGTACCTGGAAGGTTTTGAATGGCATTATCAGGAATGGGGAAAACAAGGAAGAATATCCAAATTACTTCAAAGTAAATAATTTATCAGTGAAAAAAAGGGTATCGTAAATGCATTTAGCAGCTTCTTTGTCAGTGTTGGGCGGAAGTTAGCCAATGAAATTGTGAAACCAAACAATGTGAATGAATTTGAAGAAAGAATTATTTACAAATAATGCAAATTCCCTTTTCATTTTATACCTTACATCTGGTTTACAGTTTTTGTCTATTGCTACAACACAAACCCTTACCATTGTGGGTACAGTGGGGCAAAAAAGTATTTAGTCAGCCACCGATTGTGCAAGTTCTCCCACTTAAAATAATGACAGAGGTCTAATTTTCATCATAGGTACACTTCAACTGTGAGAGACAGAATGTGAAAAAAAATCCAGGAATTCACATTGTAGGATTTTTAAAGAATTTATTTGTAAATTATGGTGGAAAAGAAGTATCTGGCACTGCATGAAAAGTTAGATTTTCGTCACCCTAAACGGCAGGAAATCACGCTCTTTTTCGGGTATCTCAGGCAGTTTTCAAAACCCGCAGTTAGGGTGCCCTGTCCTCCAAACTGCCGCATCCGTACCATGCTAATGTCCCTACTTTGCATTTGAATGCAGCGAAACACTGCGGCCGCTGAGCGCTAATGGCCCTAATTAGCATATGAATGCAGCGGCTGGCCAGGCTGCTATTCAGCATTGGCGGATACCACTACTTTCAAACTCGTGATTGGCTGAAAAATCCCACGTGGCCAGCCCACGTGGGATTACTCCCCATTGGTAGCTTACTCCCCATTGGATGAAATCACTACTTTCAAATAAGTATAATCTCTCGTGATTGGCTGGCAGATCTGTCACTATTGGTCACCCTGCCTCATAATTAATGTAATATTTATATAAATATTCGTATTATTTATAGAAGAAATGAAATTTTCCAGGAATATGTTCATACAAAGAAAGCTTTATTAAAACACACACACACACACAGCTTTATGCCCACACATAAGTAATTAAAGAATTACAACTCTGAACTGTCCAATAGCCTCCTCGGGGTTGTAATTTGGCAGGGTTCGAGATAGACGCTTAATGTGCTTCTGTACTTCCGCGCCGCCTCTAACCAGGACTCCAGCTTGACAGAGTTCAGAAAACTCCGGCTTTCGAAAAGACGGCGACCGCACAATCCACCCAGAGACACCGTCCACAACGCCTTCTTCTTCATTGGACATTAGGTCTACCGTGGCGGACTTCCAGAGTTCCACTTTGTCACTTTCTAGCACACTCAGTCTCGATTCCAGCGGCTGAAAGAATCAGTAAATATTATTAGCCAAATCAAATCCTTTTTCCATTCTAAACATTGCCTGGATCAAAAACAGTGTCTAAAGCAGACCTGGAGATTCCTATCCATGCATTTGTCTCCAGTAGGTTAGACTACTGCCACAACAGCTGCAGTACATTCAAAATGCAGCAGCTCAAGTCCTGACCAGAACCAGGAAGTACGATGGTAAGGCAAGTTTATTTATCTAGCACAATTCATACACAAGGCAACTCAAAGTGCTGAGCAAAATAAGAAAGCATTAAAATAAATAATCACAGTACATTAACAAATATAAATATAAAATGCCTCAGTTGTAGCACAGCTAAAGTGACAGCTCCTCTCTGACAATGTTTAAAACCAGGTTAAAAACAGTTTGGTTTAGCTGTGCTACAACTGAGGTAAACTGTTTTTAACCTGGTTTTAAACATTGTCAGAGAGGAGCTCTCACTTTAGCTGTGCTACAACTGAGGGATTTTATATTTATCTTTGTTGATGTACTGTGATTATTTAATGCTTTTTTTTGTTCAGCACTTTGAGTTTCCTTGTGTATGAATTGTGCTACACAAATAAACCTCCCTTGCCTTACTGTGCGATGCAGTTTAGTCTTACCCTCTTTCTTCTCGCTCGACTCCGAGCTGCTCTCAATGAGTTTTCTGGCTTGGCATTTTGATGGCTCCTGCGAACCGTCTCATAATACAGGGGTTCCCAAAGTTTTTAGCCCGCGACCCCCATCATAAATGCCCTGCTAACCCGCGACCCCCGCCCCCCCCCCCAACAGCCCTTCAGTCACATGAAATGAGCATGTATTTCCTTGATACGGAGTAACGCTTTCTAGAGACTCACGCCACTACTGAGCTGCACTGTCCAGCTCAAAAAAGGAGGCTTGCATATTTTTACTCATGTAGTGACACAGTGATGGGCTTGGTGGACTCCCTCCTCAGCAGAAGTGGAGCGCATTTCTTGCGGCTCGCCCTCACTGTTCTCCTACCGCGGTAAAGTGGGCCGGCTTTCCGGAGTCAGCGGCAAAGAGGTCCGCACATTAAAAGCGGGCGGCCGCTTTCTGCTGTTACTTTATGCGGTTCATCCCCGCGTCAGTAAACGCATAAACCGGCCAACCGCCTTTAATGTGCGGACCTCTTTACCTTTGACTCCGAAAAGCCGGGCCTCTTTAACGCGCTGTTCTACCGCTGCCCTCCCTCCCTCCGCTGTCCTCCCTCCCTCCGCTGCCCTCTCTCCCTCCGCTGCCCTCCCTCCCTCTCTCCCTCCGCTGTCCTCTCTCCCTCCTCTGCCCTCTCTCCCTCCACTGCCCTCTCTCCCTCCGCTGCCCTCCCTCCCTCTCTCCCTCCGCTGCCCTCTCTCCCTCCTTTGCCCTCTCTCCGTCTCTTCGCACCATCAGCCTGACCCCTGATACAAGTGACTTTTCTCCCCCTCCGGGTTTTTCTGTTGTGGATATTAACCACGTTTCATTTTAAAGCAGGTATTATTTATTTGTAGCCTCCAAACACCTTTAGTTTTAGCAAACAACAGCAGGACACGCTTTGTCGCTGCGCATGATGTGAGCTGTGTTACGTGATGATTTTGATTGACGCTGCAATGACTGGGACAAAATTACTAACGTTATTAAAATATATTATAGTCTCCAAACACAATTTAACAAGTAGTCCTTTTGAATCAAAACAAATGCTTTTTTGTGTGTGTGTGGAAATCATCTTGCAACCCCCCCAGGGGTTTCCGCGACCCCCCCGGGGGGTCGGGACCCCCACTTTGGGAACCGCTGTCATAATAAGTCTTACAGGCCGCTAGAAAACAATCAAAAAGTGGTATGAATAAAAATCAAACGCAAGTCACAGTAACGTCAAACAAGGAAGGAGAAACAGTAAAACACTTACACACAATGTCGTCTTTATCAACATCGTGGAAATGTGGACTTGCAGATATTGTGTTAAGCAAATAGGAGGTCACCATCTCATTACGAGGCTAGATTAGTCTGAAAACAAAGTGTACAGTTATGATTGGTATCTATACATATCCATTACCGACACAAAACGTGTAGGTAAACCAAATAAAATTTCCATGGATACATTAACAATACTTACATAAGCTTTTTGAGAAAATGGATCCTTCAATGAAAAAAGTGTGATAATTCTAAGAGCATAGCTTTCTTTTTGTTTTCGGGAAGGCATTTGTCTAAGGAAAGAAAAACACTCATGGTCAAGGGACTTCATGGTTACATAAAAAGGCTAAATTAATAGTTTCTACAAGTACATATTTTCACGGGGACCTAACCAAGAGATAATCTACAGAACATCTACCTAGGTCATTTATAAAAGAGATCAGTACTATTTATCTTACAATGGGGAATCAATAACAGTGCAGAGAGAAACTGAATTGTTACGTGATTATTGTGAAAGGTCTTTCAAGTGATTTTCATTTTATTTTGAGTAAATATCCTTCCACTTGTAAGAAGGAACTTTTGAGTAATAACTGAGGGATACAACATACCCATGTGTTTCACTCATGTCACTGACGAGATGGTCGACAAGTTGTCTTCGAGAGCGGTGACTTAGTGATCTCACAGAATTATAATCTTCAAGGATCTCTCGGTCACCAGGGTTTTCCTGCAGTTCCACCATCTACAAACACGTGGAAAATGTAAAATGACAATCTACAATTGTACCAAAAATCTTAGGATACAAAATGCAGCAGTACCTCTTTTGCTGTGTCCTTCTCACACATGTCCTGATTGGATCTCCTTGTGACTGCCACAGAGGATTCTCCTTTAGGAGGAGACTCTGGGTTGAGGTCAATTGAAAGTGATGGTGTCCATTTCCATTTGAGAAAGATCTGTTAAAAAAATAAAACATCTTAATATGATGCATTACTTATAATACTTTGTCATTTCATGATTTTGAATGTGAAATAAATGTGAGTCTCCTGTGTCTCCTCCTGAAGCAAAACTCCTGAATTTAAAGCTCAGATACCCACATTTTTCCTCCATGCATTAACAATGCATGTTATTTGTGCACAAAAGTAAAATGTCTTTATTCCCAAACCCTAGTTAACTCGTTATATTGAGAAATGTAGAGTTACCTTCAAGTGTGTTGAGACCGGGCAAAGTCACGGTCCTTTAATATATTACATGTCATTCACACTGGACAGAATAAACCCGCCTTAACGAAGTGTATTTCCCCAGTTTAGCTTTAGCCAAAAGGTTACAGCAGATATAACAGCTTCAAGTTTTAGTTTCATTTTTGTCACTTTCTTTCTTGTACCGTTTCCCTGTATTATTTGAATGTCTTTTTCAGGTGGAGGTTAAGGTTGTTATCACCTACAAGTGTCACTGCTTGTTGTGTCTTTTTCATAATTGTACATAGGAGTAAAACACTGTACTGACAGAGAAGACAAATGGAGGGGGATGTACTTACCTTTCTCCTTTCTCCATCTTCTCTGCTGCACGTATGTGCATTTCAACACCAAACACAATCATATGTCATTTCTTTTTGTTATTGCTTTATAAACTTACACAGGAATTGAGGTGCCGGACAATCTTGGAAAGCTTAGTGCCAGCAGTCCCCCTTTTGGCCTTAAAGAGCTTTATGAACTGTGTCGTTAGGAAATCCAATGCTTCAACAAAATCATTGCCCAGTTTGGAGCTGGTGATCTGGTTAAATTCTGCCAGGACCTGCACAAAAAAAAAACATAAAACACTTCAAGTTAAATGCATAGATGTAAAAAATGTGTACACACCTGTCTCTCTGTATAAAGTGCTGGCCAGCGTGCTTTGACATTTTCCACAGGTAGGGCAGAATTGACTATTTCTTGTTGTCGGACTGCAACTGTAAGCAAAAAAAAGAATAATCAATATATATATAAAACAATATCACATGATTTTTGCTCAAATGTGTTTAAAGGAGGTCTAGATTCACTCAATAACATTATTAAGCAATGGACTTAATAAACAAAACAAAAAAAATGAACAGAAATAAAAGTGAAAGTCTTAGTGCTCAAACAAAGACAGGAACAGTGCAAAACAAATGATATATGTTAGATATTCCCCAGAACTCTAGTCCACAGTCTCCGCGTATATCAGGCTCTGCCATGAGCCCAAACTGCTTTTCCTTCGGTTCTTTCGAAGCAGTCTGCTCTGAGCGCCTCGTCCCTGCAGCAGCTCCATGCTTCACAGAAAGTTATCACACACGGAGCAATCACAGCGGAGCTTCCTTGCGGCGGTGGCCCGCGTAGTTAGGGCCGGGAATATGGCTCTGAACACGGCTACAGTTAGCTACTAACAGCTACATTCACCGCTGACCTCAGTAAACTCCCGGAGGCCGGACAGTGCGCTCTCAGGCCTCCGGGAGAGCGGCTCTGAACACGGCCACAGTCACTGCATTCACCGCTGAGCTGGTCGAACACACGAGTTTTATAAGATAATATAGTCGAATGTATACACGTTCACACACTTCTTTAGCTTTATACCTTTATAACAATGAACAACGAGTCTTAACACTTACCGTACATTCAAAAGAGTCCTCTCTTCACGTTCCACGAGACTCCACCGTCGACTTCAGGCGAAGTATTTCCTTGGGTTTTGCGCATGCGCGAAATGCGCATTCAGTTTGTGAAGTCCCCAAGTTTTGGTTGTGTAAAGATAGTGATAACACCAACAACCGTTTGTGTGTATATATGTGTATATATTAGGGCTGTCAAAATTATCGTTTTGACTCACGTCAATTACATTTTTTATTAACGCGTTATTTTTTTTTTAACGCATTAACGCATGTCCGAATGACCCGCCCATTTATCCATAAGAATATCACTCAGAATGCTGCGTGTGAGACAGTCCAGGCGCCAGCTCAGTATAGAAGGGGGGGCGGCTGAAAAACGTGGAGGGGCAATGACGTCACGTGTATGCATGCATATGAGAAAACGTATGCAACTTGTATGTAACTTTTTTAAAATATAAGCCACATAGATAAAACGTGATAACAAGTTACAATAATGTGTTGTAATTAACACAACAAATAAAACACTTACAATAACACACGGCCATCCATCCATCCATCCATCCATCTTCTACCCTTTAATCCATTTCTGGGTCAGGGGGGTGGCAGTCAGAGATGCCACCCAAGTCTCATAGCACCAGCCCCTCACTGACCCTCTGCAGGTGGTGAGTCCACAGGAGGACGGCTGCTCTTTGAGTGTGAGCATAGCCTTGATCTTTCAGTGGGGGCTTATAACACACGGCCATAAGGCATAATTCTTGCTTTAACGCAACGTTCATTCTAACCCGACCATTAAGAAACAGATGAAGACTCAGAAGTGATACACATGTAGCACAGAGCAACATCAAAACACTCCAAAGATCACACTCGCTGATCTAACGCGTAATCAATTGGTAACAAAGCAGTAACAAACATTGGTAACAAAAACAGTAGCATCAACAATATACGGATGATAAAATAACCAGCTCTTATCTTTAGTAGAGTTGCAGTCTCCTCTTTTCTGATGAGTGGAATCTCCGTAACAGCATCTCCTTCCATTCATCTTTGAATTTCCGACTGAGATCATTCTCAAAAGCCAGCTGGATGAGGTGGGCTTTCCGTTTATGCAACATGCTGCGTCTGTGCTCGGTAAATACGTTCTTCAACGTGGAGAATTAGTTTTCGCACATAGCAGTTGATGCCCCGAAGGTCAGTGCGTGTTTGAACGCGGTCATTACCGCTGGCATGGCACTCAATACCATGTATTCTTTTGCAACAAGCTGACTCAAAGTCACTTTCTCCTCGTCCTGGCCTGTGCACCTGTTTTTCAAATAGTCCCGTGCAACTGTGAACTGTCCCTCAATAATTTCTGTGTTGGTCAAATCCAGTAGTGGTTTCACTTTGTTGGCCTCCAAGAAATTCACACTTACGGGATCCAAAGCGTTCAAAGCAGTCATGTATGTCCCATTGCGCTCGCTGAAACGCGCAGCCATTTCACACAAAATCGAGTCGATTATGGCAAAAAAACAGGCGCTTAACACTCCTGTTGGATGTCTGCTTCGCGCTGCCCAAGGCCTTCACTCACCACGTAGTCCTGAAGGGCCCCGGTGGTCTGCCGCAGTCGTTTTGGAGGGACAGGCGTGCCCTCACATGCATCCCCACTGTCATCCCACAATTTAATAAATTCCGCATCAGATCTTAAAGCTTCGATGCAAGAAGATGCACTTTGAATGAGGCGGACTGCAGTAATTAGATCCGTTTCTTCAGCTTGCAGGATCCGATTGGCTGGGTCCATCAGCCCCAATAATTTGTGCATCACACAGGTCAGAAATTTGAAGGTCCGTTCTGTGATGGCCTTGTGAAGTCCAAAAGCTTCAATTTTTACATCGGCACCTGCTCCTGTGCATCTCATTTCTTTTAAGTCCACCAGTGTGGCGTGTGACTTCAGCACCACAGACACCGTGTCCAGTCCATCGCTGTTCTAACAGCCTTTTAAGCTTTTCTCCTCTGTACTGTGCTGCTACAGTGGGCTTTTTCAGAAATTTATAAAGGGAATTACACACGTCAAAAAAATCCCTGACTGCGCTCTCCGAGGAAATAGCATGAACAACCACCAAATGCAGCTGGTGGTTGAAACAATGAATATAAGGCACTTCTCTGTTTAACTTATTTTGAATAAGCTTCTGCATGCCTCCCTCTCTTCCAGACATGACGCTGGCTCCGTCATAACACTAAGAATTTTATTTACGTCAAGGCCGGCGTTTGACAGTTCATTGAGCACTACATTAGTGAGTGACAGGGCATCACACTTGTCTGTTGTCTGTATTGATAACAGCCTCTCCTGCACTTTGAAGTCCTTGTCCACATAATGCACAACTATAGAAACATTTTCACGGCCTGTCGGGTCTTTAGTTCCATCCACCTTGAGTGTAAACCACGACTCTCCAACATCTTTAACAATTTGCTCTGTTAATTGCTAACTGTTGCTAATGTCCATTTTTATCAGAAATGAAGAGCTAACCCTTAGCTGCTGGCTGGTTACAGGCAACTCCGTACGGCGGGAATATGCACTGATAAGGTCATCACTGCATATTCCCACCAATTGAGTGATGGGTAACATGGGTTCAACTATAATCTGAATTTTAATTTTCAAAACTGTTCATTAGAGTCAGTGGAGTTTCTTCTGAGTTTCTGGATTGTTTTGAATACACAAACTGTGAATAATATATAAACTTCTTTATTTAAAAAATATATATATATACATTTTGACTGAGGGGGCGGGACTGTCGGCGTGAGGGGTGGTATGATGGTAATATGATAAGATGATGGTTTTGGACCTGAATCCAATCCAGATAGTTTTGGGGCTGGACCACAGAGTGAAGGTGAAATGGCCAACAAGTGCTAAGCATCTGTGGGAACTCAGACCATTTCAGGTCCTCTTGAAGCTCATCAAGAGAATGCCAAGAGTGTGTGAAGCAGTAATCAGAGCAAAAGGTGCTACTTTGATGAACCATTAGAATATAAGACATATTTTCAGTTGTATATTATTTACATTGACACAGTCTTCCTAAGATTATATTCCATGATTGAGTTTGTCCATTTTAGGGCCCTTATTTTGACCATTATCATACCTAGTAACGGGGGTCGGCCACGCCTCCTCGCTGATATAAGATTTTTTGTCCATTTCTTGCTCAGACTTTTCTGAGAATGTTCTGGAAAAGTTAAAAGTTTCTGACCCACACACACACACTCCCAAACAATGAATCTACTTTCCATAATGCTTTGTGGGAATCCTGTATTAAACACACTGACAGAGGATGTACATGCCTCTAACTGAGGATCTGATCGAACTTTGAGGAGTCCAAAAGAACGATGACACTTTATATTAATGCTACATGAGTTTATGCATGAACATCATGAACTAATGCATGAATTAATGCATTAGTTCATGATACATTCATGCATTACTAGATCATGAATTCTCATGAACTAACATGATCACATTTAGATTCATGGATGAATTCATCCATGAATTAATGGTTGAACTACTGTAATGAATTTACATGAAAATCTTAATGAATCATCATGATCATGAGGATCACATAAGAACACCATGAATTTACTGAAACAGCAATGAAATGACAATAAAATGATCAACCTATCATGATCATGAGGATCATACATGAACATCATGACTCATGATGAAAATCTACTTACAAATTATGGACGACACAATGTGCAACTTTCTAGGACAAAATGTATGGCAGTCATGAACTCATCATTAGCTAATCCTTAATTCATCATGATTTATACTAAAGGAAGCAATGATTAATGGGTTGTTCTTGCAATTTAATTTACAAACTATCACACGTACAGCATAACCAATTATGACCTCCAGTGCTGCACCCAAAGTAATAAAAAGTTTCTTTGCTGAGTAAGAATCCCATATTACATTTTGATTATGAGGTGCATAGACACATAATTATATAGATTGCACTTTCGTAAACAGACTTTGGTTTCAAATTTAACATAATACCCATTTATACCATTTATTTTCATATGTAATAATTAACACCCAATCTCAACTCAACAGTCAATAACATTTTAATGAAACATTATTTTACATTATGACCAATAAAAACATTTTAGTTTAACATCTCAAAAATTGCCTTTCAGAGTCGTGGGCTCTTGAACATCTTGAACGTATCTAAAACTCCTATTTTAACCCTTTACTCGTTTCCTCAACCATTTGAGTAGAACAACAATTTTTTTTTGTTCAACATCTCAAAAACGGCCTTTCAGAGTCAACCAGGACTGTACTTAAAAAAAAAAAAAACGTAGCATGAATATACATTAACAGGCATGCAAGGCCAAACCGGGAAAAAAATATATCTCTTAAATTTTATAAATATCCAGCAGTGATCCACTATTCTTTTTTTGAGCTATTGCAGTTGCTGTAGGCTCTTGGACACAGAAGCCCCTGCAAGTCTCAGCAAACTGTTTAAGACTGTCCTTACGCTTGAACGATCTTTTCAACGTATTGAACAGGGAAGGATTTGACTCAGCCAATTCAGCAATTGGGGCCTGGCTTACAATGGTGTTGCGATCCACTTTAAGCCGACTGTAGGCCTCTGCCTTGCTGCAACCTTTTTTGACCTCTTTTAACACACGTTGGTATCGTTGCACCGCATCATCAGAAGTGTTAACTGTAACACAATTTACAAGAGAAAACAAATAATTACAAAAAAATCATAAAATAATTCCCATTACCAAAGTTGTTTTTGAAGGCATGTTATCTTAGCACCCTAAGATAACTGTAGAGCTACACACCTGAACCACAAAATTATCTCAGCAGTAGTAGCGGTCAAATGATGTAATTTCAATGTAATCAGAATACCCCCTACTCGCAACTGGGGCGTCTGAAACTTGGATGAGTTTATTATACTACTACAGGCGCAGTGACATCACACAGCATGAAATGAAATGTCTCAGATGAGTCCAGAGTCAATGGTTTGAGGCTCAAAAGATTTTATCTGATTTTCACTATAATGTCGAAATATGACCAGGATATGTAAAGAGCATATTTATGCAGTTTATGAGTTAATAAAGGTGATTTGGGTTCTAGTGCTCTTTTACAGTTTTTCTCTATTGCTTAAACACATTTCACAATACTGCCCTCCCTTTTCTCAAAACTCTAAACACAAACCTCTTTTCTAAAGCTACGTACAGTCTCTTTTCAAAACCGACTCATCACACCAAAACAGTTACTCATATTCTCAAAACCAACCCATCACACCAAAATACCTCTCATGGTCTGCAAAAATGTGAACACTATGAGCATCATAAACCACTTCACCAAAACAATTGAAAACACAATTTTCAGAATGTTAGACTGTTCTTTTTTTACAGTTTCACAACTGCCAGGATGCATTTGAGCAACACTTTTTTTTATTCTCAAATATGTTTTGGGCCTTTACTATAGATTTGCTCGTATCATGAGAATAGTTACATAACGCAGAAAATGCAGTTATATCAACACTCAATGCAAACATGGGTACTGTAAATTCTATAGTGGATCAATTAAAACCTATTCCACTAAATTAAAAACCTTCTTTTAACCACAGACAGCGGAGGGTGCTCTATTTTAATTATTTTAGACCTAAGCGCAGCCTTCGACACGACCCTTTCCTCAAACATCACTCCCTCCGCCCGTAACCTTGGTGTCATTTTTGATTCTCACCTCACTTTCCGCTCCCACATCAATAAAACCACCCAAACCTGCTTCTATCACCTCCGCACAATCTCAAAGATTAAAAACATCCTCACTCCTCCCGATCTCCATAAAGTTGTCAACGCCCTTATCTTCTCCCGCCTCGACTACTGCAACTCCCTCCTCTCCGGTCTCGACGCTAAATCCCTCTCCCGCCTCCAACTGGTCCAGAACGCAGCAGCCAGACTTCTCACCGGTTTTAACAGAAGGGAGCACATCACCCCTGTTTTAGCGTCTCTCCACTGGCTCCCTGTGCGTTTTAGAATTGATTTTAAGATTTTACTGATTACTTTTAAAGCTCGTTTAGGTCTGGCACCCAGCTATATTTGTGAACTTTTAACCCCCTACGAGCCCCCCCGCAGCCTTAGATCCTCGGGCAGGTCCCTGTTGACTGTGCCAAGGTCGAGGCTCCGGACGAAAGGGGACCGAGCCTTCTCTGTCCGGGCTCCTCGGCTTTGGAACGACCTGCCCGAGGAGATAAGGCTAACACCATCAGTATCCTCTTTTAAATCTCTTCTTAAAACCCACTTTTATCAAACAGCTTTTAACTGTTAGTTTTAAACTTCCGATGCTGTATTTTATTGTCTGCTTTGTCTTTGTTGAGTCTCTTTTGTGTTTTGCTCTGTTTGCTTTGTGTTTCTGTATCTAATTATTTTGACCTTGCATTATGACAGTTTTTATTGTTTATCATGCTGACTGTGCAGCGCTTTGTAAACACCGTTTTTAAAAATGCTATATAAATAAAGATTATTATTATTATTATTATAATTAGACACAATAGATACTGCAGTACAGTAACAATTGGAAACACAATAGTCCGGGTGTGATTTATTTTATTACAGTATGTAGTACAGTATGTTGACACTGCAATCATTGGGCGGCATCACGTCGTCGGGCTGGGTCAGGCCACAGGACCTCATCAACATCACAGGCTATATTGTCCATAGCCAAACAACGTGGGAAGAATGCCCTGGCATGCTGCACCCAGCCTTGGAATGCCTCCACAGCCACATCATCACAGGCCA